CATCTATTTGAAGAGTTTTTTGTGCTCTTTGTCAAACTTAATTCCTAATTGATAGAATAATAAATGTTAGTGGTAGGTGACAAATGTGAGATGAAGGGAAAACAAGGCCAAGAATATAAAATAGAACCAGGAATGTACTTAGTAGAAAAAGCACACACTATGAAACGGTATATACTTTCTATGGGTAGGCCATATATTTGTTTCTAAGATGTCTGTCTGGAAGACAATAGAAAGAGGGAAATGTGATCAGTTACTTGTCTATAAGAGAAAAAGCAAACTTACTCAGAAGAAGAAAATGAATTTTGATAGCAAGACAAGACATATATTTCTTTGCAAAGCCTCTTTCTTATAAAAGGTACAGCATGACATAATCAACAGTGTTCTTGTCAGCACCCTTACAGGTACAAACATCTCTGCCTTGTTCTAATAACTGATGGTCTCATCCGAAATGCAATGAAGCAAAAACAATTAGATTATTTAGATAAATAATGGGTCATGCTTCAGGCAATCCTCCATAGATAGAGTTGCTTTAATTGTTTTAGGTGAACCACATTAAAAATCTGATTGAAAACTGTGGGTCCTCCAACAGAAAAACTCACAATCACACCAAATTTTAACTATAATTTCAAAAAGTTTATAGACTTTTAAGATTTGGAAGTTCTAGGCTAAAAATCCATTCCAATCTGGATTTTTTAAATCTAGCAGCATTGTGGACTTATTTTACAACACATCTGTATTGTCATGTAAGTAGAGTGACCAACTGTCCTGGTTTGTGCGAGACAGAGGGGTTTTCTGAGATGCAAGACATTCAGTGCTAAACCCAGGCAAACTGGGATAGTTGGTTACTCTACATGTAAGTGCAGAACCATATGCCTTAACAGGCGGCCAAATTTCTGTGTGTTGTGTGTGTGTGTGTGTGTGTGTGTGTACGCGCGCACGCGCAGGCGTATGTGTTATAGAGGTGAGCAGACTCCTTTCTAAGAAAACAAGCGTTTCACAGGGATACATGCTTGAATTTCTGGCCACCTACTATAATAAGGGACTCTCACAAGCAGAACCAAGAGATTATCAAAATCAGTTTTGAATCTATGCCAATGTACAAATGGATGATCATGTTTCTAAAATCAAACCCCTTTTTGTAAAGCTACAATGATTTGTATCCAATACTCATTTTGGCTGTTTTTTATGTTCCCAGAAATACAATTGCTGCTTCTTGATATATCTTCTGAAATAAATCTTTTGCAAAATATATCCCACAGTAACTAAATGAAGAGATTTGCTATGCAGAAAAAAGTAGCTATCAGCCAGTTACAAATTGGGGAGAATCATAAAAAATATATAACTTTGCTTGCAGAATGGTTAAATTTAGGTTTTAGAATCATTGAGGTCTTTTGTAGTAATATTTGCATAACAGGGCAAGTTTTGGTTAAGGTCACCACTAGACTCTCATATTAAAATCACATTTTTAGGTGTAAGAAAATTGCTGATTTTAGAAAAGTTGGCCCCCAAAAGCCGGATAAGCAACAAAAAATGGTTATGCTATTGTTAGAGAAGGCAAAATCTGTCTCTTTTTTACCTGTTAAGTGCCCAGTCAGGAAAGCTTTTCTACCATCCTTTCCTTCCAGTGAGCAGTAATCTCATAAAATTCTGAAGGGGCATCAATGGTCAATGTTCTCAGTTCAAATAGTTTGGCCCATCCTTAAATTTGGAGGCTTGCGAAAGTCAAGAAGAACTGCAAACAATCATATTCTTCCTGAAGATTTCTTCATACAAAAATTAAGGGCCCCTCAATTGCAGGAGCTGTAGAGGATGCTGGGAGCCGCTGGTTGTGTTCAAGGTGGAAAAAGAAGCCAGATAACAATCTGGAAGCATTTCGTGTAAGCATTTCTGGCAAGAGATCTCAGGAAAAATATCTAAGACTTCCCAAATTTCTTGTGATGGCTTCTCTCATTCCAAAGTGTACCTAATTTGTAACCCTAATTTTGTGTTTGTAATTTTATACTTTTTTTCTTAAAAGTGACCCTTCAAATTGTGTAAGCTTCAGGTCTCGCAAACATGAGATTGCCCTTGTCTGAAGTCCACTAGATCTTTATTTCCCTGAGACACTTACTATTTGCCAATAAGAGACTAACATAAGTTTTCTATGGAACACCTAATAAATTAACTAGAGACAAGGTCTAGCTTCCAGTATATGATCCAAATCTAAAGAACAAAGATAATGGAAGGCAGAGCTCAGGAGGTGGATGTGTTCAGCAAATTTCTCTGACCACCTGAAATGGGTGTAAAAATAAGATTTACCATGCCCTGGGCAAGTTCCAGGCTTTAATATAAATTAAGGCGGGGCAAAGTAGGATCTATGGGCAAAATCTTTGTTGAGTAGAAAGGAAAACTGATGAAGGTAGAGCCATTATGCATTGTTTTGCATTATACAAACAGAAAGTATACTAGTACTTTCTGTCTGAGTAAATAAAAGTACAATTTTATTGTACAAATTCTACTGTGTGTGCGTGTGGGGGTGTGGGTGTGTGTGTGCATATCTCTATTCCTCCCTCTCATCCCAAAACAGAGTTCTGAATGTGGGCTCTTGTAAAAGATGAAAATCACTCTAGAGTCTTCTTGAGTTAGATAAGTCTTGTTACTTGAAAAAGAAAATTATGAGATTCCACATGTGATTGGCAATTTTTCCTTTTAACCACCCGATACCAAGTTATGTCAATGTATCTTAGGCTGAGAAGAAGCAGTCACTTAGTTTAGCCAATGTAACCTGATTCATTATATTTCCAAAATCAAAGTAAATGACTTCCTATAGAATTGATTGATCTGGGATTCAGGTGTCAAAGGATCATTAGGATAAGAATAAGAACTTTAAGAAAAATAATCATCGCATTTAGTTTTATGGATAAAAGATACTGATTTAGTATAGCAGTGATTACAAGAAGATGAAATTTCTCTTAAAATCAAAAACAGTCATTGCATAGGTAGAATACACTTTGGCTTTCAAAACTTTTCTAAGACTAGAGAGAGCAGATGGAAAGAATTTGTAAGCAAAGTTAGTCTTAGCACTAGTGATATATTGAAAAAATACAGTACATGTTTGCTAAATCTCAGGTTATACCCCAATAGAGTTTGAAAAAGTCAGAGTGAAGGCTTATTAATTAGTCAAGCACATTATTGACATGAATGCTGAAATTCTTTATTGTTCATTTCTTATCTCAATGCTCTCTTTGAATGTTTCCAGATTATTGATGCTTCCTTTCAAAGGAATAAACCACTGGACTAAGAAAAATATGCAAATACCACTTTAGGGCAAGGTCAATGAATTTTGACATTTTAGGTATCCAAGTGGAGAAAGGAAAATGGGAGTGGGGAATGATTCAAAAGAAACATTGTAAGCTGAATATAAAGAGCTTGTTGACTTTGGGGGGCAATTTCTCAGTTCTTCCAATTGAAACTGATGTTTCTATCTCTATGAATTTCTGCTATATGCTATAACTTTGGATTTTTAAGTAGTTTTTCTTTCTTTTTATTAAAAAATTAAAGAATATCTTTCATTGCCTTACCAAGTAGATTCTTGCTGTTTATGAAGAGTTCTCCATTTTCCCTTCAGTTAAGGGATACATGAATTGGTCTTAGTAATATAACAACTAACCTTGAGCCGAATTTGAAACAATCTTATTAACACAAACCAAATTTCTTCTATGTGTCTTCATTTTACAAGGGCATGTTCTGAAATATGATAAGAAAAGCTATCCTTGAAGTATTTCTAGACAAATTAAAAGCAGGAAATACCAGAGATTTCATGTGCTAAACTCTCATGAGATTTACTGCCCAATTTAGCAGTTTCAGCATGAGCCTGGGATATGCCTCTGTACATTTTGACACGAATTCCAAGTGGACTGAACTTGTAAAGCTTTAGAATTTCATCCATCATTTAGCCTTTCTTTGATTCGGGGTTATATGTCACCATTAATCATAAAAATGCAAGATCCCTTGAAGTATGGCCACTTGGGTTCCTCTGTGGAATTAACAGAGTATAAATGAACAAACCAATGAACAAATCAAGTTGACCTATGAGTATAATGATCGAATTTAAGTTTAAAAATTATATTTATGATTTTATATTTTCAAGTAATTTTCAAAATGCCTTAAGTACAGCATTGTCTGAAGTGTTTGATGTGACTTCCTGAACTGCCTTACTCTGCCTCAACAAGGAAATTTAGCAGCAATTGTGGAATCTGAAGCTTCATATACTGCCCCCGATATAGCTATCACCACACGATTAACGTCCTTTGATATCCCAGTCTCCACATTGCTAAAACAATGAAATAGGCAATTATATGAAATAGTATGGAACACATGACCAATGGCCCAAATGGAATGCAAGAGTTATTTTTATTTAGAAAAAAAGAAAGTCTGTATAAATCTTTTACTTGAAATTTTTCATTAGTTCTTCATTGGCTACCTCTAAGGTTCTAAGATTCAAGCTCATGAAATGAGCACCAGTCTGTGATAAAAATTTTAGCGTATCAAAGTTAAAGGAAAAATTTTTAAAATTATTGGAATTTTTTTTTCATAAAAATAAATTTACTCATTTAAAGAACATTTTTTCCGGAGTTATGCCCTTTCTACATTTTTTGGTATTTAAAAAAGTCCTTTCCTTTGTGAAATGCTGGTATTTGCAATGTAAGTTCAAGGAAAAAAAAAAAAAACTCAACTAGGTGAAATAAAAACTTGGTCATTTAAAGATGTCTTTGAAATTTACTGGTGTGTAAAATCCAAAAGTCTAGGAATCATTGCCCTGTGAGATGATGATTAACTTCTTATTATGGCATTTAAGGCCCTTCCTAGTCTGGCTGTTGTTTATTTTCCAACTTCGTTCTTCACCACTTTAACCACAGGAATTTTGGAATGGAGACACGCTTAATGAGTTGTATCACATATTTCTAAACTATGCAATTCCCTCCATTCCTTGTCCTTCTGGAAAACTCCTAATTATCCGTCAAAACTCAGGGGAAAAAAATGCTACCTCTTCTATGAAGCTCTCCCTGAAAATCCCATCTGGTCTCCCCAGGACACTTCTTGTTTTCCATTCCTATTGCTTCCAGGTATGACATTGGTCACATGATATCATAATGATGTGTTTGCTTGACTGTGTGCTCCACATAGCGTGAGACCCTTGGGAGTGGGATTTTTCTTTCCTGGTTTATTTCTTTATCCTCTGCATCTAAGTCAATGGTTGACACATAGTAGGTGTAAAATAAATGTATGATTGGATTTTGATGAATGAGTGATTAAATATCTTGTAATAATCTTGATTTTGTTCATTCACTTGGTAATTTATAAAGAAATAATTAAGTGCCTATTATGGAATAGCTTTATTAGATACCCTGATAGCTACACAGTATAAATATAGTTTTTATTTGTACTTTGCTTATAACCCAATTGGGAAAGACAAAGAATCCACATAGGAAATGTTATATGATCAATACATAAAATGATCAAAGACCAGGGTAGCATATGCTACATGTGAATCAATGGAGCCTCAGGTCAGTATTTTCTACTTTTACTAGGAAACTTTGTTATAGTTTACATTGGCCAGAGGTTTCAAGGAAGCCTTGGAAATTGGTAAGAATATTATGAGCCCCCTGTGCTACAAAGCCAGGGTTACACAAAATCAGGACTCTTGTTTTCTCTCCCAAAGCTGTTCTCTCCATCCATTTCATGACCTTTTGACTTGTCTGCCTGTTTATAGCCTCGCCTCATCCCTCATACTTGACACCCAGGACCACTTTTCTGTCTCTGATGCTTCAGTTTTCTTCCTTAACTGTAATTGATACTTGCTGGTTGATTTTGCAGCCTTCCATGAAGGCCTAGGGTAAATAACCCACCTGGCACTTTCTACTCTAATCCTTTTATTTTAGTGACAAGAAATCTGAGAACTGGGGTGGTCACAACTCACCTGAGATCCTCTAGCTATCACTAAGGTTCTTCCTCCAGGGTTCTTCCCATCCTCCTACTTTGTATTAACATGGAACATCTTTAAGATGTTCAAAGTAAATTAAAACGTGAGTCTCTCTGAATTGAGTTTTGTTGCTTCCAGGAAAGGATCTATAACTTATTGCAGCAAGTGTGCATTAGATTTTCTTTCATATGGATTCTACTTGGTTTTGATTTTACACTTTTCTATGTATTAAAAATGTTCAATGTGAGTAGAAATTTAATAAAAAGAAGCCACGGGAAACCTTCAACATGAAGTTTGCTTCATGAAGTGGTTACCTGAGTTCTACATTACATTTCATGAGAACCAGTGGCCTTCTCTGGATCTCAGTTGGCTAATAGGTAAATTTAGGGAAAAGAAGAGAAAATCACTAAGGTCTCTTCCAGCTTCTAAATTCTAAAATGATTTGTAGGCATGTTATACTAAAAAATTCTTTCATTTATAGTAATGCACGTTTAATTTAAAATGTTCAAATAATACAGAAGTATGTAAAATAAAAACTGAAAGTGTTTTGTTATTTACATACACCCACACCTCACTTAAATGTATACGCTTACACTCACACTCATATTCAGAAATGTAAGACAATGGTCCCTCTTTATCATAACTCACTCGTTGGGTATTTTTCAGACCGGTTTTCCTAAGTACATGCCGCACGCGCACGCGCGCGCGCACACACACACACACACACACACACACACACACACACACAACTTTCATTCTTCCTAATTTAGGCTGATAGGTGGCATACAAATGTTAATAATTTGCAGACTTAAACTCCATAGAACCTTAGTAATTGTTTACAAGAAAATAACTATTTACAATCCTAATTGCAATAAAGTAGAAAAAAGTCAAAGGTCATTTTCATCTCTATTCAAGTTGCTAGATTTAGTTTATTTTTTAAAATCAACTTCCCAGCAGCATTTAAATATGATTTTGTTTAATTTAAACCAATTTGTAGCCTATTTATATTTACTAAGATATGACAGAAGTCCCAGCTTTCCACTGTTTTGATTTTGTTTTTGGATGAAATGTTAGTTGTTTAATAAACTTCAATATTTATATTTAGTTAAAGCTCTGCTATCATTTATAACCAGATGAGACAGCCATGAAAGATAAATTGATAATTTATTCCTCTTGCATTAGGGAAACAGTTCTTGTATTTACAATATGCTTAGCATAGCAATTCCCTTCCTAGCCTCCTAATATTTGAGTACATTTTATGGTGGAGTGTGACTTTCAAATTAAAAATGATTTGTTGCAAGAATATTGACTAGATATGCATTCTGAGAGGAGATAGCAGAGAGGATGTAATGAGACTTTTCGCTACCCTTAGCCTTGGGCTATTCAATAATTTTTCTTCTTTCAAGCTCTAAGAGGAAGAAAGGGAACCTCAAACTGAGTGACAGATGTTAAGTCAGGAAATGGAAAACTCCACCTTCTCCAGAGCTTCAAGTCATCTTCATGACCTTTGTGGCCTCGTTGAAAGGCCTTCTCTCAACTGAATGACAACACAGAAGCTGTGGGTAATATTGCAAATCAGAGAATGTCGGTGTGACTGAGAAGCTGTGACCCTTGCCCTGTGTGGTAGTTCAGACCTCGGTTAGGGGTGAGGTGTGAAGGGCTTTGCAGTGCTGGGTGGTCTGGCAGGGTCTGAGGTCCTCCCACCAAGAAGAGAGCTAAGAGACTGACTCAATATGCTCCTATTTTGGCTCCTGCTCTGCATCTCTCGGTCTATCGTCCAAGCTTTCCTTCAATGTATCCAAATTGACATCCTGAATTGGGTACCATTTTGTCTAGAGATTTTCTAGAGTCAGTGCAGATATGCAAACCCAGGCAACTGCAGTATACGACAGCACACCATTCTTACCTCCCACTTCAGGACAACTACATGGCAGTGTGGCTCAGAACAGACCCAAGGTCCTGCAGGAAGAGGGAACCAATCAGTATGGGCATAAGTGACAGAAAAAATGCTTCTGAGAACATGGTCCCCCGCCACCCCCAGCTTTATTGAGACATAATTAACACATAACATTGTGTAAGTTTAAGGTATACAGTGGTCCTCCCTTATCTGCGAGGGATACATTCCAAGACCCACAGTGGATACCTGCAACCACAGATAATATCGAACCCCTATATATACTGTTTTTTCTTATTCATACATATCTATGATAAAGTTTAATGTATAAATTAGGCACAGTAACAGATGAACAACAATAACTAATAATAAAATAGAATAATTATAATAATACTGAAATAAAAATTATGTCAATATGGTCTTTCTTTTTACCTCTCTCCAGTAATTTTGATATTTCTCAGTCCAAACTTATTTTTGAATCTGTGTAACCATCCCTTACTTGCAGTAAATGGCTTGGTATTACTCATTTCGGGGGATCTCTTGCTAAAGTCTTCATATAGGCTCAAGCTTTCTGGCACAACCTGATGCGATCATTCAGAACACGTTTTCTGTTCATATCATCTACCCACAAATTCAATACCTTTTCCCTCTTAATTATGCCTGTAACTTTTTTCAGTTTGAGGTGTGACTGCAAAACTAGCATGAATTTCCCCTTTTTTTTTTCATAATTTCACAGATAGATTTGTTGTTACCATAGATCTTAGTAATATCAGCATATACTTTTTTTTTCTTTCCTTACGAAGTTAGGAACTTTTACTTTTCTACTTAAGGCACGTTATGGTTTCTCTTTGGAATATCTGAATTGCCAGCATCACTAATCTTGAGCTGTGGGGCCATTATTAAGTAAAATGAGGGCAACTCGAACACAAACACTATGAAGACTACTATGAACTGACTAACTGGCTGGGAGTGTAAATAATGTGGAGATGCTGGAAAAGGGACAATTCACATTCCAGGTGGGATAGATTGGGGTGATACACAATTTAAATTTTATGAATTGTTTATTACTGCAATTTTCCATTTAATATTTTTGGTCTGCAACTGACCACAGGTAACTGAAACCTCAGAAAGGGAAACCGCAGATAAAGGGGGGGGGGGCTACTGTACAATGTAAAGACTTGATATATGTATATATTTAGAAAAGACATTTTATATATAGAGAGAGAGACAGAGAGACAGAGAGAGAGAGAGAGAGAGAGAGAGAGAGAGAGAAATAATTACCACAAGGTTAATTAACACATCTGTCACCTCACATATTTGCTTCTGGGTGTGTGTGTGTGTGGTGTGTGTGGTGAGAACTTTTAAAACCTGCTCTCAACGTTCAAGTAGGTAATCAGTATTGTTAATTATAGTCACCGTGCTGTATATTATATCCACAGAACTTATTCATCTCATAAAAAAAGTTTGTTTCGTACCCTTCGATCACCTTTGCCCATTCCCTGCACTTCAAACCACATTTCTACTCTGTTTCTATGAGTTGGTTTTTTTTAGATTCCACTTATGAGTGAGATCACCCAGTATTTGTCTTTGTTTCACTTATTTGAACAGGATCTTTTAAGGTAGGACTTTTTATGCAAATTTTTGTTTAAGTAGAATTCAACGAAATAATACTGTTATAATCTAAGCTTTAAGAAATGTTTTTGTTTTCATGTGTTTTTAAGAGATGCCAGTTACTAAGTCGAAGAAATTTATTGTCTTCTTCATTAAACTTGGTTCACGTTTTTAAAACCTACATTTTTTACAGTTTATCAGTTTCTTCTCTTTCTCTGAATGCATTTATCTAATTTGCATTATCTTTTGTTCTCCCATCCTTGCTTGTTAACCTAGTAACCCATGGAATATGTGCCTTTTAGCAGCTTTCCCTGCATTTCCGTATGTTTAACCTACTGCTAAGCAGAAGAAAATGGTATTTATCACACTAGGGCAGGTTTTCACTGCTGATAAGTATCAGCTGTTTAGAGAGTAGACTTGGAGAAGTTATACAAGCAGTTTCTGTGAAGAAAACGTAGATAAATGAGAACTACTAAAAGAATGTTTCACCCAGAGGGGCTAGCATGCATCGCAATCAGGATGAAGAAGAGATGGGAAGAACTCTACAAAAGAAAAAAATTAGCCAAGGGGATGAGGGGGAAAAGGAGAAAGGGTTAGCAGAAGTAAAATGCTTTTTAGATCTCACAACATGGCACAATGATTTTATTTGAAGTAACTGGGCAAGACCATCTGCTATGAGGAGGTAGCTCTAGGCATAACTGATCATTTTCCTTGATCTGGTCTGTTGACTTTGGAGAGAGGGTAAAGTATGTTCCCTGCTCCAAGGGATGGAATTTACTCCAGGAAGCCTACCTTGGTCACTGGCTGGCATACCTTTATCAGAATATTTGTCATATTTGTCTCTTTCTTTGTCTATTTGTCTTTCGCTAGGAAAAATAATAACTAGCATAATTCTTTTGTGTGTGTACAGGAGAGGCACTGATGGACTGGAAAAAGAAGGGATTAGAGGCCCAGGAGATTGGAGTACCCATGGAGTAAGCATTGGTCATGATAAGACACTGGAATGAAGGCACTTCAGATTTTAAAGAGTATAATGTTTTGTGATGACAAGTTCTGGGGTGTGGCTAGAGCAATGTGATGCAAGAGTGGACTAGAGGTAAAAATCAAGAAGCAGCATGTAGAGAAGCTTCAGCGCAAGGTGCTGAGGTTTGTCCATATAGAGTTATGAAAAAAAACAATAGATAAAGGCAAAAATTCAAATATGGAAAGGTATAAAATGAAAAGTCAAAAATTTTCGTTCAAAACCCTCACCCCCATCTGACACTACGGAGGTGTTGATTATTAAAAGCATACTCATTTTGGTGGTGTTTGGAGGTCAGTACAGTGCTTAGCCCTTGCAATGGACTAGTGTAGTGGGTTGCCAATGATATTATGTTTCTTGATCCAGGTACTGGTTATACTGAGTTTGCTAAAATTTATCAAACTTTACTCTAATTTTTTGGCATATTATATTACGTAAATTAAAAAGTTGATTTGCTTAAGCTATATTCATTTAAAAGTATTTTAGATTTACAGTAGATATTAAGAATAATATAGAAAACAAATACCCATATGTCACTACCCAGTTTAAGAAATAAAATGTCACAAAGACCTTGTGCATCATTACCTGACTACATTTCCTCCTATCTTCAGGTAACAAATATTCTCATTTTGTGGTTTTTCTTTCACATGTATTTCTGCTTTTACCAAATTTACATATATATGTAATTTATATACTGTTTGAGTAGTTCATGGTTCCTTCCATTCCATGTGTATCTCTCTGCAACTTATTTTTTAAAATTGAGCTAAAATTTACATAACACACAATTAACCATTTTAATGGAACAATTCAGTGGCGGTTAGTGTATTGACAATGTTGTACAACAACCAGCTGTCTCTAGTTTTAAAACTTTTCATCACCCCATAAAATACCCCATACTCATTGAAGACTCACTCCCCATTTCTTCCTGTTTCCAACCCCTGGTAACCTCTAATCTGCCTTCATCTCTATGGATTTGCCTATTTTGAATATATCACATTAAAGGAATCATATATGTGACCTTTGTTGATCGCCTTCTTTTAATTAGCATAAATTTTCTGAGGTTCATCCAAGTTGTAGAATGTTTTAGTACTTCATTCATTTTTGATTAAAGCCATCATAGTGGATGTGAAATGGTATCTCATTCTGGTTTTAATTTGCATTTCCTTAATGTCTAATCATCTTGAACATTTTTTTCATTTGCTCGTTGAACCATTTGTATATCTTCTTTGAAGAAATGTCTATTCAAGTCCTTTGCTCAGTTTTTAATTGGGTTATTTGTCATTTTATCATTGAGTTATAAGTATTCTTTATATATTCTGGCTACTAAGCCCTTAACAGGTATATGATTTGCAATTATTTTCTCCCATTTTCTGGGTATCTTATCTTGCAGCTAGGAAAATTTACTTACATAAATGACTACAACTTGGCAATACACAACAGATATTTCAGATGTGCCTTCTCTAGGCAAAGACCTAAGAACATCAGGGGCAGTTTGATTTGGTGTAAAAAAAAAAAATCTAAAATTAAAAAAAAATTGGAATTGTGCAAAGATCAAATGTCTTTCTAAATATACTTTAAGGTTCAAAGCAAGAACTTTTCTTAGATATTTTAAATTTCTTTTTCTAATCATCCATGATGTCTTAAATAAAAGATGTCTTTAATTTAGAGAAAACAATCACCAAATATTTGCAGCATTTTTCTTTTCAAATGTTTGAATTGTCAGTTTTATTTCAAGGTGTTTTTTAATTTCTCGAAATAGAATTGTCAGCCTGTGCTATTACAGGGGATCCTGACGGTATAAGTCGAATGACAGCGTTAGTATGTCTCTCCATTATTGCAGAAACTCTGTTTTTTTTTAAAATGCCTTTAGTAGGATTCTGGGAATTCACTGTAGGTTAACAGTGGGGCTCCCACCATTTAGAATTATTTTCTCTTAATGAAAGAATGCTGAACCCTTCAAGGTGTTTTTAATTTCTCGAAATAGAATTGTCAGCCTGTGCTATTACAGGGGATCCTGATGGTATAAGTCGAATGACAGCGTTAGTATGTCTCTCCATTATTGCAGAAACTCTGTTTTTTTTTTAAAATGCCTTTAGTAGGATTCTGGGAATTCACTGTAGGTTAACAGTGGGGCTCCCACCATTTAGAATTATTTTCTCTTAATGAAAGAATGCTGAACCCTTGAACTCTGTCAGGGACTTAGGCATGTTCCCTGGGCCTGATTTTTATCCTCAGAAAATGGAGGTCAGATACATGTCAGAGTAAAAGCAGGGTCAGATCAGAGTTCTTAAAGACTCTGCACGTGTCCAGAGGACGCTAATGTGTGGACCACGGTGTCAGGAACCTGCCAAGCACTTGGTGAGTGAGTGAACCAACAAATGCTTGAAGGGGTAAATAATGAGTAAAAATGACAGCAAATAGTCAGGGAAGTAATTAATTATATGCATAACAAAATGACTTACTTTCAATACGCTTGCCTGAGCTAAACAGAGAATGTTATAAAAAAAAAGTAAGATTTCTCCAATGTGCTCCTTTTCCAAGGGACTGAGGTAATATAATTTGGTAATGCATTTTCATTAAAAAAATGACTATTGGAGATGCTAATTTAGGATTATAAGGATTTTATCATTTCTTATAAATATTGGCTTTGATTATGACCACCTGACCTGATGATAGTATCTATGCGCCTCATAACCATTTTGTACTCTTATTCATATAGTTTAATAAACACGTGAAACAACATAAGGAAGAAAATCATGTCTGTGTTTTATCCTTGTAATTACAACTATAGTGAGTTTATGAGCTCAGGTGTAAATGACATAAAATTTTCTTTACTATGTCTCACTCTGTGGGGTTTTGCCATCATCTTGGTGACCTTATTGGGATGTACTTCCTCTTTCATCCCAGCCTCCTCTGCATTATCTTTCACTTCTCTTGCCACTCCCCCACCTCCAGAAACACGTCTATCTAACAGAGGGAAGATCTTTCTCCACATTTTTTTCCCCCAAGACACTCGGTCTGTGGCTTCTAGTGAAACAAATGTGATATAGATTTACAGGGAGTGTTAATGTTCTGCTCTGCCACTTATCTTCCTTACAGACGACTCTGTGAAAGAGAGGAAGAGAAAGAGAAACTGAAAAAGAAAGGGAAAAAACAAACAAACAAAAACAAAATAAAAAATAATCCATAAATAAATATCTCAAAATAACAACACAGATTGAGAGCATAGGTGTGAACAGAAGTTAATGTTATAGAGTGTTTTCTGTTCCATGTACTCTGCTTGATTCCTTCAGATATATTATCTCATGTCATCATCGCAGATTGTGAATAGATGTTTTCATCCCGTTTTTACAATCAGGAAACTGAGGGAGAGATTAAATAACCTGTTCAATATTAAAATTGAAGTCAGGTCTTTAAACTTCTAATTTCCATACTTTCCTCTATTTACTTTGTTCCACTTTACAACCCTACAAAAATGATGGTCATTAAGAGCTAGTTAACAAATGAAAACTATGGAAAGTAGTTATTTAAAATTATATTAGACCAGTTAAAATCTATATGAGGACATTTGGACTGAGAACTAGGGTCTGAAAGTTATGGTCCAAATAACATGGATCTTACTCCTCTCAAAACACACAACACAAAGTTGTTCAACCCAAATATCCCTCAAATGGAGAACTGAGAAACAAATAGTATTACATGGAATACTACTCAGTTATGAAAGAGAATGAATTACTGAATACACTCAACAACATGGATGAAACTCAAATGCCCAATAAGTGGAGGTAGCTAAACATAAAAAGTGACACAGTATGTGATTTCATTTATATGACACTCTGCAAATTATAAGGGACTGTTTCATATTTTGGCTGATGTGATAGTTACATGACTGTGTATGTTTGTCAAACATTGCAGAACTGTACACTAAATGAGTGAATAATACTACATGTAAATCATCCCTTAATTTTTTAAATGAGAGGAAAAAACACAATGTTGTTTAGGATTAGGTGCTTAATTGACCTAATTAGAAATACGCTTATGGTTTTTAGGTAAAATGTGAAAAAAAATGTTTCTTAATAACCAACTTCATTTTAATATTATATATAACTCACAGAAGCACTAGGGGACCTCAGATACCATTTTGCCTCAACTAAAGAACCAGTCTGAAATTAAGATGCTTCTTAAAATGAATAATAAAAGAAAATTGACAATTGCATGCAGATCAATAAGTTTTGATGTAGTTATTATAGTGAATGTATAAAATATACAAAATTAGCCAGTGAGTAATTAATATTGACTTTTAATTAAACTTAGATTTGTTGATTTTTGTTTCAAATGTTCTCATGTTATTTTGCACACAGAAGATTGACTAATACCTGGCAGGCAATTCAATTTAAGGCAGAAGAAATTGCCAAGTCCTGCATAAATGTTTCAAAGGTAAGAGATTTGGGGAATCATCAATTGATGTATTTGAAGAATCATTACTTAAGCCCTGAATATCTACCTCTAATAAAACAGTAAAAGCCTTTGACTCTTCTTTCTTGGCATGGAGAAGTCACTGGACTACCTTAATTTCTGGGCTTTTAGTGGTGGTGATTGGGTCATGGGTGAGAGAAGGGCAGCCGATTTGGTTAATTCACATTGAGAAAAGCAGAAGTTGTCTCATGGACAAGAGAAAGATTCAGAAAGCTGGAGGGAAGAGAGAAAAGAGAACAGCCAGTAGAAGATGGCCTCTAGACAGAATTTTAGGGAACTGTTGTTTTTTTCTGTTTGGCTGGGGACAGAGCCAGTGGAATGAATGAGAGAGAGATGGAGAAAGAGTATTTGAATATGTTTTCTATGTGATATAAATAAAATCTTCTTCTGGCATTTTTTAAAGTTTGAACTAAAGATTTAAATGGTTTTTGATTATTTCTGGACATTCGGATTTTTTTTTTCTCGAAGGTGACAACATGTCAAGATGGACCATGAAGAGCTTAACTTTTATGAGTAACATATCTGTCAAAAGCTTCAGGCTGACTTTCAAGAAAAGCTGTTTAACTTTCAGTGCTACGTAATTTAATGAAGGAAAAATATGGAATTATTAGTTTGACCAAATAGGAAATGCAGAAGAAACGCTAATATTTTCAATATCTCTCAGAATTATACTGTCAATCTTCAAGAGCTAAAGAAACCAAAATGATGAGCACTAGTTATGAGAAACAGCTTGTCACCATGATGCCAGGCATATCTGCTAGGGCGCTAAAGTAAATCCAGAGATTCTTTAAACACCATATACAAACAAATTTTCAACTCTAACTTTGCTGGTTACACTTAAGAAGAAAGTTAGTCTATAATTATATGGATATATGAATGCTTTTGTCGGTTATTAAAAGTAAATACTAACACAATTCATTTGTGGGCCTTCTCCCTCCTGGAAAGCTACTATTAAATCTATGATGCATTATACAATTTATGACATCTTAGAATCAGGTTCTAGATATTCCAAAAATAATTTTCCAGTTACCATATTTTTCTTCCAAGAGACTCAGAACAGTATTTGACTAGTGTATTTTCTCGGTCCGACCCCTATTTTCCAGCATTGTTCTCATAACCTCCAAATATCCTGAACTGTTCTCATTTTGTATTTGATCAGAACCCCATATAAGAATATATTATATGATGTAAGACACACACACGCACAATTTCTTTCAACTTTTTGCCCTCGTTTACATGTGTTACTGTATGTGTGTGGGGGTGGGGTGGGGAGAGTAAGAGAGCTGATAGTGGAGAAAGTGACGTAGGAGAAAGAGGAAGGGCAAAAAATGTTGGCAGGGGTGCCCTGCTTTCCCCAGAATGTGACTCCGAACAATGTCCTCAAGCACAGCATGTGTGAGACAGAAGGGTTGACAATGAGGTAACAATGCTGGTTGGCTCTTGCCTTTTTATTCATACCTGCGGGGTTTTGCAGGCCTTGCTGCCTGCAGTTTGGGGTCCCGCTTTCTTCTCTATTTCTATGGTTTATGAAGAATCAAGTGATCACGGAACAAAACCTCTTCCAGGGAATTTGGAAATGTCTATCCTCTGCCCTAAGATCTGCTGTCAGACTGGGGCTGTGGGAAGATATGGGCTTTTTGAATACATTCAGCAGCACCTTGGGAAATTCTATTTTGCAGAAAGACTATCTCTAAATTGCTTGTATACTTGGTTTTTAGGTGTTTTTAAACTAGCTCCTTGCACTCTTGTTAATCATTTATATTCGAAGGAACTCGTTCGTATTTGAAGGGAGCAATAATAATGAAAATAGCTCTAGAATTTGAAAAAGTCATCACTTTCCCTCAATTCTGATCTGTTTCCTTGAATATTAACAGCTCGGCAGTGTTTAACTACTTATAAATAAATAGTGTTTAATTAGTTCTATGCAGAAAAATCAAGACTAAAGCAAGAATTCAAAAACTAAGAAAATCTGACTTTCTAGGTAAGGCAAGTATCATGTATTCTACTTGATACAAATGGGAGATCAATTAAAGACTAACTAGCCTTGAATGGAAGGATTCTGGCTTTTTTTTTTTTTTTAAATCATTTATTCAGCGAATGGCTGTGCCAGGCATTGTTCTGGGTGGCAAGTTTACAACTGGTGCAGAGCAACCGAGTCTTGATTTGAACACTGCCTACATTCTGGTGTAGGAATAATGCATGGCCACAGTCAGACAGTGCTTTATTCAGAGCATGCTTCACTCTAGACTTCTCTGAGCTCATTTCTCCAGGAATTTCATTCATTACCTTCTGCCAGTTGCTCATTGTTTTCTTTTATAAATGAATTGGCTAAATGACATGCATTACGGTTACATAATATTTCAAAAACTCCTGAACCTAAATTCTGATAAACATAAGCATTTGTCTTTAACAGAGGAAGTCACAAGAGCAAGCTGTTAATAGCAACGGTGAGAACACTTCAATATTCAGGAACCATGTTTTTCAAGAGTAAATGACACAATTAATGCTTGATACTGCATTGTTTACAGATTTTCTTGTGACTCCACAGCTCTTTACATGTCAGTCTCAAGCAGATGGAAGGGTGATTCTACGAGGCTTAAGCAATAATTCAAATATTGGTAGATGAAGCTGCTTTTAAAAGTCTTGATAGGCTTTTATGCATGGTAGATTTACACATCTTTTTTTACTGTAGCAAAACTTCGAAAATTGCAACTAAGAAAATAAAAAATTTTGCATTTCTTCAAAAGATAGCTAAAACGTAAATATTTTTATGCATGTCCAAGAAGACCACAGTAGATGAGAATAGCCCACACAAGCTATGGAGCCAAATAGGCTGGACTTGAGTCCAGGCTCTGCTGCTGGGTGACCTTGGGCAAGTACTTGCTCTCACACTGCCTCAATTTTCCCATCTGTAAAATGTAGAGCGTCAAATACCTACTTCATGGGGTTGTTATGAGTATTAAAGTAGTTAAACGTACATTGCATAAAGGGTTTTGCCCAGATAAAGCATTACACAAATGTTTGTTCTTATATGTTTCATGTATTTATATTTGAGCAACATTTAGTTTTAGTAAGATGAGACTATTACTTACCTATTATTTTCCTAAAATTCTCTATGAAACAAAGAAACTAAATATATAGGAATATCTATTTTATTTAGATTTTTTCCCCCAGAATATGTTCAGAAGTTATTTATAGTACCTCAGTGTCCTCTCAGGTCTTGCTGCAGGGATGAAATGATGGGAAGCAGAATGGAACTGTGGGAGGAACAAGGCCTTCGGAGTCAGGCAAACCTGGTTCAAATCTAAGCTCTGCCACAGACAGTGGCTTAACCACTTTTGTCACCTGAAAATGGGGGTTGTGACACTTATCTCTTATGATTGTTGTGAGATTAAATAAGATGTATGTACTTAGCACATTCTTAAGATCAACAAATGTTGGTTTCCAACTGGGTGAACAGTCCTACTCCATTCCATGAGCAGAAATGGCCAATTTCTGTCCCACACAGACCTGCCTTCTCCTCATATCCCACCTTGCCCCATGCAAACCTCACAAATCAGTATAAACAAATGGCCAATTTAAGCAAATGTCAGACATTTAACAGGCTGACCTATAACCTATACAGTCAATTGTTGTAAAAATTCCTTCTCGAATAGGGACAATAAGCTCAGCTTGGCTAATTGGCACCTGTTTCAGTGAAAAAATTTGAAGTGTTATTTACAGAGGGAATGAGCAGGAGCTAAAGAACCAAGGTTTGAGGTGGTCAGGTGCACACACGTATTTTGACATAATGAAGAAGCAGAAACTGTGAGACAGCAAGAGAATTAAGGGAAAAGAGAGTGACTTGGCTGAATTGGCAGCAAAAAGAGCAGAAAAAACAAAGCCCCAAAAGCCCCAAAAGCCAAGTCATCCTGATGGCGGAGGCTCCATCAGCTCCATCAACTCCTGCTGCTGAGGGGGCCCTTAGAGCCGTGGTAGATATGAACTCTCCAACTAATTCACCTGATCTTAAGGGAAGATGACTTCTGAGTGTGGAGTCCCATGTTACCTGTGGAATTAACCTTTTAAATTCCAGGTCACAGCTTGGCTAGCCTTGTTTGTATAGAGGCCAGTAGAAATTGGCTTTCTAAGCTTGAATTTTAGGTGTCAGACACCTGTAGTCACTAACTCACTGTCCTGACAACTTTTCATTTTTGTGCCTTTAGACAGGGGTCAATGTATAGAGAGGCGAAGAACATAGCTCTGGTATCAGATTACTTGGGTATAATTTCTAGTACTTACTAACCTGGGCAACATTTTTAACTCTCTATGCCTCAGTTTCTTCCTCATTATTATTATTATACATGCTTAAAGATTATTACTAGGTATTGTGTCAATCTTATACCAAAATACTCATTTGTTATATTGTTTACTTATTCATATTTCTCTTATTAGACTCACAGCTCCTTGAGAATAAATGGCAAATACTTTTTATTTCCATTACTTAACATATAATAGGTGCTTGATAAATTAATATTGCCTTTTCTAAAACAATCTTTCTGTAAAACTTTCATCCTGCTAACTTTCGTTCTCTGAATCTTACAGAGATTTTTAACTCTTCTTCCACATATGGACATGAACTTGTAGTACATATTATGCTTGCTTTTTTCATTTATTTTAATAATTGGTCTGTTATTTAATTAGCTTCAGCTCAACAAATTTCAGCCTCTTTAAAGCCCACCTTTGCTTAATAAGTTTGCCCCTTCTGACATACTGTTTTTGCCCTATTTTTACTCTAAAGTAATTATTGTACTTATCATTTTGAGTGTCTTTCTACCTAGGTCTATCTGCTTCTATCATTTAGCAAGGTCATTTTGAATTCCAAACCCATCTGTTAAGGAGTATATTTTCTCTCCAGGTGACTACATCAGGTAAATCAATGAGTTTCCTATTTCTTCGAACAGGTCATTAATGAAAGTTAAAACATACAGTTTATAAATATAAGATGTTATTCTCCAAGGCTATAAGACCATGAGTAGATATGTGAAAAGCCAAGTTTAATGAGATTTCAGTTGTTTTGTAGAAGATATTTTTATGTAAGAAAAACTTTTGACTGTGAAAACAAATGGTTTGATAAATCTTTAATTGCTCAGTGCCCTGCAACTCAACATTTTAGTTTATTAAATCAAGAGTTAGCCTCATGTGATTTTTTTTTAGTTGTTTTAAAGTCATATCTGAGTTTATTCAGTAGATATACATAGTGTCATATATGTTGGTAAAAATAAAAATTTGGCAAACCAGCACATCCTAATATATCCTAATTTTATCCTAATTTTATTTTCCCAATTTTAGTGCAATTTGGATGAACAATTCTTACAGCCTAGGTAAAAACAGTTTGTATAGATTTTCAGCAATAATTGGTAGAATTTTTATTTTGATTAGGTGGAACTCTGATGCCAAGGTGTATTACTCTAAAGAAAAAGATGAATCAGCAGATCAAAATTTTTAATTGTTTCATTTGATGAAAGTAATAAATCTAAATAATGGTTTGCGGATAAAAGGAAATTATTCTTGTTTTTTATCTTGGAAAACCACATCCTTATAAACCCAAGATAGCTTCTTGAGTAAAGTTGTGCTCTAAAACACTTTGCCATGTTTAAAAGTGTGTTCACCTTTTTTGGTGTTTATCCAGGCAGTTCATGTCACTTTGCAGGTCACAGAAAGTGACCTGAGCTCTTTACCAATGGCATCCAAAGGTTTCTGTCAAGTCCTTAAGAGAACACCATTTCATTGTGCTTTTAGCCAAACAGACCTACAGCAGTTTGTTTATATGATTATCTCCTGGAAAATTAAAAAGACTCATGACCAAGGTAAAGATTTACAGTCATAGTCATAATTTAGGCTGAATCTTAGTGCATTAATTTGCTTCATTGAA